GGCGCGGGGGGTGGGGGGGGGGGGGGGGGGGGGGGAGCCAAAAGTACATTAAGATCAATCGGCTGGAACCAAGGGAGGAGAAGCACGAAGAGGCATCAAAAAATTTCAACATCGGCTTAATTCAAAACTTTTGAGTTCTTTAAAGCTAGTCTTCCTTCTAAATTTTAAAATCTCACCATCACAAGAGCACTCAAGATTCCTATTTGTATCGTTTCAGGTTTTCAATACGAATAGTGCTTCTCAAGAGAGTGATCAACAGAACAATAACTATGATCTCCATTAATCTTTCACTCTGTAGTACGGACACTTCAATTAGAGTTGCGTATCTATGTCCAACACGTGTCGATACTGACACTCCTCGAACACTCTACCATAAAGTTTTCTTTTCATTCTTTATTAAAAATATTATATATTTTTAACTCAAAATTATTAGTAAATAATAAATAATTAATCATATCTAAAAGATTTCAACAAAAAAATTAATAACAAGTATAAAAAATTTTATATTATATAAATGAAGTTTTTTAAAGAATTTAATCAATGTGTCGACTAATTGTCGTGTTTGTACTTTTTTGAAAAATCATGTGTCGGTGCATCATAGATCTTCTTTATACAGAACTTGCAAGGGCAAAGACGTGTGTCTCAAACAACTTGAGAGAGGATAAAGAATTGAGCTTAAAGTATTCCTGAAACATGGAATTAGACTCCTTGTAGGCGCAGTGTATATGTAACTCTTGTTCTCTGATCTGCTATGGCACATCCCGCGATTTACCTACCTCACAAAGCTCTAGGGGCGGGGCGATGAGGGCTTTCAAGATTGGGGTTCAACCTTTAAGAATTGAGCTTAAAATTGCTTAGCTTAAACAGAATATCGTTGGCTTAATGTATTCACCATTTTATCATAACTTTACAGTCAATATTCCCCATGTTGAATTTTAAAAATCAGCCATTTACTAGCACAGAGCAGATCTCAATGTCAAACCCATAAAAAATATTATGTCTATAGCCCACCAGGAAGTAGAAATTCACACAAAAATTGAAGAGACAAAACACCAGATAGGCTGGTGATGCCCTGTGTCAAATGTAAAATGAAGTACAGCAGTTTAATAGAATTGAAAATGGTCTCTCTCACTTTTTAATGTAGCATGAATGATATTTCACATTGAAATATAACTTATTCACTTACTTGAGATTAAAGAAATTCCTTGTTCGTAGCAAGTTCACGCACTGCATTATTCAACTTTTTATAATTGGGCCTGCCGCCTGCGATGAAGGGATCAAAAAGTAACAAGAATGAAAAATAACTCTTCCTTAAAGCCATAAAGGTCGTATCACCACAATTTTAAACACCACTAGGAAACCAATTCTACAAAAATAATTAAGAAATGGTGCTACTTAAAGAGTAAAAGATGTCATCAACTCTAAATAGCCAACATATGATCAATATAAACCGGACAATAATCTGTTCCTAAAGACAACATAAAACTTGTAAAAATTTATTTTGAAGATGATCCACCAAAACATAGTGACTGTTGTTCAAAACTGTTATGTCACTGAAATATGAATATGCACATTGCACTTTCATTTCATCATGCAATTTAAGGTTCCACCGATGGACACGCAGGCTACCACCAAATCCTTCTAATTATTCCGCATAGACAACACCACCAATAACATGATTCTCCAAGTGCTTCCCTGGAACCAGAAATCAATTGAATCAGGTCTCATTTATGTCAGTTAGCAGTGTCTTAGAAGAAAGTATCAATTTTATATACAATGTGGTGTTTAAGAAAAAACATTACAAGTAGAATTCAGTCAAATGTGCTAAAAACCCAATAAAAAGAAAGGAAAAAAACTTCCAGTAACCGACAATGAGGTAGTGGAAGCTAAAGAAATTAATGATCAACGAGACTCTCAATACGATAAAAATAAAAATAAAAATAAATGGTGTGCAACAAATCCACCTAAAAAATCGAATCAAACAACCAATTAGTTTAGGATTTGTAGAGATTAAAGAAAAGAAAAACAAGACAAAAAAAAAAAAAAAATTGATACACACCACAATGGTATCTCCAATTTGAAGGCCATCTTTAGTCACAAAGACAAATTCGCAAAGGCAGAGCAGGTTTTGCACAAAGCGGGGAGAGTTCTTTCTTGGTTTTTCTCTCAATTTTTGGTGTGTATAAAATGAAGAGGAGAGTCTCCAATTTATAGGCTTCAAGAAAGAAACGGGTTCTCCAAAAAATCTTGCAAGATTAGAATAAAATCAAGATTGAAAGATAGAGCTCAAAAAGGGGATAAATGGTTGGAAAAAGATAACGATAATATTTATTTGTGGGAAAAAATCACAACTCATGTTTTAACTATGCACAATTCAAAAATCGGCTATTACGTTTAACTAATGCAAAAATCAGGTTTTAGTTAATTAATTAAAAATATTTATTAATTAAATATAATGAGGTCACATTTATACAATTAATTGTCACATGAACACAATTATAAGTCACATATTATTAAATTAATTGGTCACAAATTATGTCGATGTCACAATTCAAAATTTTTATAGGTTACAGTTTATATCGTTGGTTGCAAATCCAAAAAAATACAGGTCACGGGTCACATATTCTCAAATTTTATGGTTACAGATTACTTTTTTAAGTCACAAATGATCGAATTTTAATATCACAGATCAATTATTTTCAAATTTGATGGTCACAAATGATTGAATTTTAATGTCACAATTTAATAGTCAGTTACAGACACCAAACGCCCAATTCCAATCCATCACAATACTCCATAGACTATAAACTATATTTGAAAAATTCTTTAGTGGTGACTCCATCCCACGTCGTCCTGGGTTAGTCTAGTCCCCCCCCCCCACCAACCTAGCAAAACACTGCCCACACTATTTTTGAACCCACTCAAGTACGTAAATTTATAGTCCTTCCACAGGCTCCAACAAGATTTGGCTCGTAAAATTCGCCTCTTTGAGTTTTACTAAAATACTTTAAATCTGGATGGGGATGTCTCATTTAAGCTTCAGCAGTTATATTCTCCATCTTGGGTACCTTAAGGACTCATTCGGAAACTTGGAAGATGAACAGTGGATTTGTGTTTGCTGTTTAAGGTTTAGGTCGATGATGGTGGTGGTTCGGGATGGCAGCGAGTGGTGGTGGAAAGGATTGGAGTTAGCGACGACGAGTGGCTGTCGCTATTGACAACGGCGGTGGTGACGGTATGATTTTGGTTCAATTTAAGGGGGGTGGGATGGGTTGGTGGATTGGAGAAGATGAAGAACCACCTTACCGCCAACACCACAAAAATCACCACTTAGATCGTCACTACAACACTTAGATCATTGTGTGAACGGAGCGTCGTAGGTACGGGGCAGTCTTCAAAAATTGGATGACAAATGGCTAGGTCTTGTCATGCTGTGCGAACGGTGTTGTCACGCTGCAGTCACTATTGACAAGGCGTCGCTGCTAGCAGTGATTCGATGGTGTATAAGAAAAATAACAGAGGAATGAGAGCGTAGAGAGAGAACAGAGTGTAGAGAGAGAGAAGAAAATAATAATAATTAGGGTTTGGGGGATGGGGAAGTTAGGGGTGAGTGGTTTTATAATTAAATTAATACCTGATATTTGAACAAATAAACTTAAACCCTGATGTATGAATTGTAAATATTAAACACCTGTTGCCATGCAATTTCCACTTTATTTACATGTGATTTTCAAATTATCTCTAAGTTGGGTATTGAGCACCTAACCCAATGAACTGATTACCTCTAAATACCCAATATAATTGGGCTACATCAATTGTGATGTGGATTTAATTATTCAATCTTGGGCTTATAGCATATAAAGTTATACGAGCCTCAATTTTTTATCATATTCTAGGGGATTTGGGCATCACTAATCAAAAAATGCCTAACAACCTCCATCTTGATGCAAAATCATCCTACAAGTCAGATACGATAACAAATAGCATAAGAAAAGAGACTTTCAAATTTGTATTAATGTTTAGAAGATCAAGACAACTTCTAAACTTTACCAATGAGAGCATTTTAATTTTTATATCTGCAGGATTATATTCTAAAATGACTTAATCAAGTTTTACCAGTTATTGAGAAACCATATCTCTAATGAAATTCAATCTAACATCTATATGTTTAGTACATGTGAAGAGCATATTGACTATTAGAATATATTGTCACATTGTCCTTAAAAATACCAAGTTCATTTAATAAACCTTTAAATCACAAAGATTCTTTAAAGGCTTTAGTAGTAGCAATGTATTCTAA